CCTTCGCATCCGAAAAGTTTGCTGGGCTGTGCAGGCTGCGCCTTGCTTGCCTCCCTTTTATCACGCGCTGCTCCTTCGCTTCATCCCACTTCTGTGCTGTGGGCTGCTTCTTCAGGCAGTCCACCAACCTGTCCTCGCGCTTGAAAGCAGTCTCTCCGCTCTTGGTTCCGTTTGCTTGGCAGGTCCTTCCCCCGAGCCAACAGCGCGGCATAGTCCTGGGCTCCGGGGATGTGACCCATCTGCCTCCTTAGCTCTTGGGGCATTCCCGGCATCTCTCACCTCTTCCCATAACCCTCTGCTCAGGCGCACGGGCAGTTGAAGCCGGTCTGCTGCGCGGTGGTGCGGAAGACCATACGCATGCCCTGGCAGACCTGCACACGCCGAAAGCACTCAGGGCACTTCAGGACCTGCAAGTCCATGGGACTCCAAAGGTGCCTCCTCTCGACGGAGTAAGCAGAGGCCCTGGCAACGTTCAAAGACCAAACTAACAACTTCGGGATTGCAAGCAGAAACTGAGCCGGAGCCACAGAATCCCCAAGGTTCGCAACCCCCAGCTGATTTCTCCTCCGCTGAAATGGGTTGGGAGCTTGAACATGCTTGAACTAACCAACTCTCTGCACGTGCTTCGGCCTGCCGAGAACGGCGACAAGCGCTGTGGAGGAGCCGAAGGACCTGCAAGCAAGAGTGCAGGTGCGCCTTTGTTGTGCAATCTCTGCCTCGCCGGCCTGGTGGTGCTATGCCCTTCGTGCATGGCAGCTTGGGCGTGCCTCTGGACTCTGGACTTGAGGACATGTTACGACAGGGTGGGGTCAAACATCACGTTGCAGGATCTGGATCTCCACTGAAGACGCATTTGCCTGCATCGGATCGTGCTGAGGTCCCCGACCGGCTGAGGGGCCCATTCACACGATGCTCGGAGTTCTGGAGGTAGCTCTTGCGGCAAAGTGCCAGGCATGTGCGGCCCCTGGCTCTCGTGAGTCTCAAACACTGCGCCTTGCACCCTTCCATGAGCTCGTCTGTGAACTCTCTAGCGTCGATGCCTCTGCCGAAGTGCCAAACTAAGGCACTTTCACGGTGCGATGCATGACCACACCCCAAGCATGTGTTTCTCAAAAGCTTCCGTGCCAATGAGCCCAAGGTCTGGGCCCCATTCGGACCGCCACTCTCCCACGCCATCTGCCACCTCGGATTTACGGTCGCCAACTCTTGCAAAACATCATGCAATTGTAGGATTTCGAACGAGGCTAACCTTCGACACTACCAACGCAAGCGAGCGCTCTATCAACTTTCACACCAAGCTCCAAGATCCCATGACACGTAACGGGCAACACTAAATCCATCTCAACCCCAACCCCGTGCTCCGTGAATCTCCAACCCTACTACAAAACTTATCTTGCCCGAAGCTGATCGCGGGAGGTTGCCCAAAAGATCAGGTCAAGACTTTAGTTTAGAAGCTGCGCACGAAACTGAGCGATGCTGTGGGTTGGGCTTTTCTGTCGCCGAGCTCCCGACGCCAAGGCAGTGGGAGCCCAGGAAATAGCCTCCGCAGCTCGGAAAACACTGCACGGCTCCGAGCAGCGTCTGGGAGCATCAGGGCCCGCGCTGTCCTCTCCAGCGGTGCCCTGCAAATCACATTCCGAGTCCAATGTGCAAGCATGACGAAAGAACAATGGGATCCCGACAGATTTCCTACACTTGACCACTATCAATATAATAGTAGTTTCCACTATATTTTCCATTATCCCCTATATAACCCCAATATAACCCTAATATACCCTAATATAACCGTATATTTCCCCTATAGTACCTTTATAACCCCCACTATCACACTGTACGTGTTCAGTGGAGTCATTTCCCCATCCATGTCCATGATTCTCTGGCCGTCACCCCTGGTTACGGGGCCAGGGAGGACCGAACCTGCATGCTTTGGGTATGAGGTGACACATATATGGTCATGGTGCCCAGCCTAAAATCCTGAAGCAGGGCTAGCTACTGACTGGCTGTGCGGATTTCCGTCAGTGAGGGCATCCCCAAGGTTGGTGTTGACTGCAAAGCCGTGCTGTGGCAGTACACAAGGCTGCTAATCCGGAAGGCAGGTTTACTCCCAGGCCAGTTCGTAATGTTCTTGCAACTTTCTCGGCACACCCAAAGCCTCGCAACCCCTAGATTTCCGCACGTAGTCCGTGGGCCTCCACAAGTGCATGGAACAGTGGCGATGTTGGCAAGGCTGGCTCGGGGCTGGGAAGGGTTGTCGCAACTGTGAGCTTCCCTGGACCAGCGTCTCTGAACGCACCGCTCATTCCAAGCGGGGAGGGTGGCGAGTGGTTACGAGTGGTCAATCTTGCTGAGGTTAATGAGTAGTAGTGCGAATCTTGTCGTTTTATGGTGCTCACAGATTCTTCAGGGCTAAGCCTCAGCCTTCAGGGTTGGCCTTCAGTAGTACGAGTGTCTCTCGCCAAAGCAAGGCATCTCTTCCGGATTGGCTTTGACGGCCCGCGAACGCCACCTCCCTTTGTAGGAGCTCCATAGGGGGAGATTTGCTACTTGATGGAGGGGAATAGCCCGATCACCCCAACTGGAAACACCAAACTGGACGCCCGACACGAATCCTGCTTCCAACAAGTTCTGCATGGGATCTTTTGGTCTTGTGTCTCATGTTTGCTGTGTAGATCTGTGTAGCTATATTGGTTTCAGGGATGAGGAGACTAGCGGACCCCAACCTGGACACATCGCGCAATCAAACGTGAATATACATGTCAACTTGTCGACACGCAAAGCGGTAGCCCGGCCTTCTTGGCGAGGGGAATCTGGTGGGCTCCAGCCCAGAGCTCAAGCTCCGCCTGCAAGTCGGCCTGCGCAACGACTGGCAAAACTTCGCAGCGCGGCTCTCTCACTGACTGAATCCGCGGCCTGCGAGGTTCTGCGGCGGAAATCGGCCGGCCTCGCAGTCAGCATGGTCTTGCTGAAAACAGGGCTCTGCAACCGGTAAGCCGACCTCTGCAAGAGCTCCATGACCTCCTGGCCAAATCTCAAACAAACGGAGACGGTCGACTTGCGGACACCTTGCACCGCAGCCCGCCTGCGGCCAGCCTGCCCAACTTCGCTCTGGGCGGACTCGGCAGACGTGTCAGATGCTGCGCAACTGTTGCAGCATGCCGCGGTTATCCGGATCCACCCCAGACTTGCTCAGCGACGCGCCCTGCTGCCACAAACACTCCGTGGAGCGCCTCGGCTTTCAACTTTGCAACCGTCTACCCTCTGCCAACTTCTCACCCTCACAGGTCCCCGGCCGCCTCTCGCGCACCATACGTGGCCTCAGCACTCTACCACTATCTCGCACTATCTCGCAGCACAGGCTCTTGACATAAGTGGGTGGAAAACTCGGGATGGATGATGATGCGTGTGGGAGTTTTCCAATATTCCTGATCCCAGAGAGGCCCCTGGGGGTGCGCTTGTGCTGACGTTGCGAGCGCATGCGCGCGAGGTTTTGGAGCACGTCGTCATCATGCTGTTTCGAGCATGTTCGAACTATTTAAAAATAGAAGCATGGGTTTTTGGATGAACCTCATACACGCTTGCGCGCGTAGACCTCCGAGTGCGGATAAGGTTGGGGACGTAGGAAGGATGACGGACTCTAGGCTCAAGGGCGTAGCTCAGCCTGCTAATCCTGCTAAGGTCCGAGCTTTAGGTCGTTGTCATGCAGGTCCGGGCCTGCAGTTGTCAGGCATGCATTCAAGTTTCTCGCCGACACCATAGACCTGCACGTGCTGCAACCCCTCTCATGATGATGCCATCGAAGCACTGTACGATGAAGATAGGGGCTTTCTTCAGTGTCCGCAGCTTTGCTAGGCGTAAGGCAAAGCTGTGTGGAGGACGATGCACAGTTGGGCTCCTGCACATACGGCTTGAAACCGCATTGGCAGACGGCAAGGGCTCTGACTGTGGTCAAAGTATGTCAAAGTTTAGTGTGGGCAGGCACCGAAGTCACCATCGCTAACCCAAGCACGGCGCGGTCCTCGGCCCAAGTCAGCTCCTGCCTGGCATCTTGCCCATCTGGACGCGATGGTGCATCCTCACTGACAGCACTGCAGTGTCTGGATGCTGGGCGTGGACTTTCGCAAGTGTGAGGTTGCTGCGCAAGTAGTGCCCCGGCACCACGTTTGCCGCCCTCGACGGGGAACTGCGCAGGCAGTCAGGAAAGAGCGAAGTTTGCTGAAGCTTCCATGTATCATGTACCCTGCCTGAAGGCTCACCCTGCAGGGTCAACATTGAGCTCTCGCCCACAACGTCCTGATCGAGTCTGTCAAAATCGTTTATGCTGCAGCTGAAATTTGCCGACCCTGCTCCACACAATCTCTAGCACACCACATGGCGCACAAGGACCGATGTGTAGCATGCACCCTAGTATGCCAGGTAGGCTCCGCAGATAGCAAACATCATGCTTCAAGAAGGGACGCTCAAGACGCTCACAGCTGCTCCTCTACCTTCGTGATCTGGTGCCCACTGAGGGCCCATGTGCCAGAACCTGAAGCTGGCAGCACGTTACAGTGAAAGCAAGCTTCAGCTCTGCAGGGTCGCATCGACCCGCCTGTAATGAACAGGTTCTGGCCATGCTGGTCCTGCGCGTGGCGCATCTCTGGTGCAGGAACCCAGGCAGCAGGGCGGAGAGGGAGCACCCACCAGCCTTCCCCCAGTTTCCATGACCATCTGTGGTCACAAACTCCATGGCCTGCAAACAGACGCCGTTGCCGCAGTCACCCCCCAGCCTGCTGAGGCCTGGACACAGGCCGGCACTTGAATGCTCCACCACCCATTGGCGTGGGGATGCGAAGCCCACGTGCTGGGCACCATCTCCTGCACACGGCTGCCACAAAGCAAAACAACAATGCCAAGCTGCTCCCTCTACCCTTTCCGCCTTGCCAGGGATCGGAGTCCAGTCAGCTCCCTCGCAAAGGGGAAGGTGCACAACGGAGTTTTCGAAAACCTCCGAGGCTGCTGGTGCGAACCTCTGCGCTGTAATGCACTCGCGGTGCTTCCCAGGAAGTCTGGTACAGCACCGTGATGCCCTGGAGACAAGAAGCTTTCCAATACATGCGCGCGCCACCGTCATCCAAATCCAGTCAAAGTTGCAGTGTGGGCAGGCCCTGAAGTCACCATCGCTAACCCAAGCACAGCGCGGTCCTCTAGCCAAGTCAGTTCCCGCGTAGCACCTTGCCCATGTGGACGCGATGGTGCATCCTCACCGACAGCACTGCAGTGTCTGGATGCTGTGCAATGGCTTTTGCAAGTGTAAGGTTGCAGCGCAATTAGCGCCGCGACGGGGAACTGCGCAGGCAGTCAGGAAAGAGCGAAATTCGCTGAAGCTTCCATGTATCATGTACCCTGCCTGAAGGCTCACCCTGCAGGGTCAACATTGAGCTCTCGCTCACAACGTCCTGATCGAGTCTGTCAAAATCGTTTATGCTGCAGCTGAAATTTGCCGACCCTGCTCCACACATGCTCTAGCACACCACATGGCGCACAAGGACCGATGTGTAGCATGCACCCTAGTACGCCAGGTAGGCTCCGCGGATAGCAAACATCATGCTTCAAGAAGGGACGCTCAAGACGCTCACAGCTGCTCCTCTACCTTCGTGATCTGGTGCCCACTGAGGGCCCATGTGCCAGAACCTGAAGCTGGCAGCACGTTACAGTGTAAGCAAGCTTCAGCTCTGCAGGGTCGCATCGACCCGCCTGTAATGAACAGGTTCTGGCCATGCTGGTCCTGCGCGTGGCGCATCTCTGGTGCAGGAACCCAGGCAGCAGGGCGGAGAGGGAGCACCCACCAGCCTTCCCCCAGTTTCCATGACCATCTGTGGTCACAAACTCCATGGCCTGCAAACAGACGTCGTTGCCGCAGTCACCCCCCAGCCTGCTGAGGCTGCGATCAACTCCCGGTCTGGCTGAGCCCCTTGCGGAGGCTGGGACGTGGGCGCTCCACCACCCCTTGGCATGGGGATACTGTGCCCACTCGCTCGGGCCCATCGCCTGCACACACAGCTGCTGAGTAAAAACCCCAAAACTAACGCAGAGCCATGCAGAGCCGCCCCGCCTCGCCAGGTGCCGCTGTCCAGCCAGCACCCTGGCAACGCGAAGAGAGTTTGCGAAGAAAAATCCGACAAGGTTGTCAGTGCAGGCCTCGGCACTGTAGTGCAGAAAGGGTGCCGCCCACCCCGTTTGATAGAGCAGGGTGATACCCTGGCAACAGGAAAAGCGGGTCAAAAAGGTCCTGCACCACGGCACCCGGGGCTCGCACAGCGGGCTCTGACGGCTGCTGCTGCAGCTGCTTCTCTTCCTCCACTCGCGGTCGGGACAAGGCGCGCTCAGCCTGCGGTGAGGCATGCCCATCTTATTTGTTGATGTTGTTAAAACGTTTCGTTTTGTCTGGGGCTGGCACTCTGAGCTTCAGCAGGAGCTGCTGTTTCACCACCTGTGGTCGGGCAGATGCCCGCTTATGTTCGTCAGTCTGGGTTTTGCAAGTGTGCTTACTCTGCTCAACAGCTTTGTTTCAACAATGACCGCAGGTGTTCACAATAGATTGGACACAACAGGCAGCCATGGGAAGGAACAGGAACATTTGCACTCTGCCTGCGCCATCTGCGGTGGTCGACGCAGGAACTTCACGGCGTTCTCCCCCCAAGACTGATGACAAGCGCGGGAAACGGAAACACTGCCTAAGAGGCACCAGCGGACGCGCCTGATGCGTCTTGGAGAGGCGAGCTAGCCGAGCTGCATGACACAGCAGCGCTCGGCGCGCCTCACTAACGAAATTGCCTAGCTGGTCTGTTTGCATGCCGGACTTTCCACGTCCAGTGCGCTGACGGCAGGAGGTTGGAGGTGTGAGCATGCTGGATGCCCGGCCTCCTCGCCCTCTGCAAACATCCGCCGCCACGGCGCCATCAAAGACTCTCGGGCGGTCATCCCGGTCACAATGAAAGCTTTCACGGCTTCTGACTTTCAGTTCGACCACGCTGGCCAAATCTCAAGATGAGATCCAGCAAGGGTTTTGTGGGGAATCCTATGCTCGACGCAGCGGGCGTTACAGCTACTTGCCTCATAGGGCTGAGCTGCTGAGGATCTGTCAGGGACTGCAACAGATGCCTGGCACAGGATAATGCGATGGTTATCAAGTAGCGCATTACTTCTGTTTCTGTGCAGCTGGTCATAATCGAGGCTACCAGCATCTCCCCGAAAAGCTACGCAAGGCTACGAGATGCTATGAGTATCTCATGCTCAAATGGATCTCTGCAACACCTGCAAGCCCAAAAGGACTGCGTCTCAGGTTCCGTCACGCGTCGGCGTAGGCTCCTTGATAGCCTTCATCTTGGCTCTGCCGATTTTCTCATGGACCGGGAGATGCCTAAACCAACTGGAAACTACAGGGAGTATAGGGGTTTTATAGGGATTAATATTGATAGGGTATATATTAGGGTTATATAGGGAGGATGGAAAAGCAAATGGAGACCACTATAGTATAGTGGGGTCATATTCAACAAGGAACCCTAGACCCTAAACCCTAAACCCTGGGGCCGGGTAATAGGGGATCCCTGGGATAGTCTGAATGCTAGGACTGATTGCGGCCCGCAGCGTCTTCGTTTAGGGTTGGGGGCTTGGGGTCAAGAGGTGCCCGGCGTGGGCGAAACCATCAGGTGCTTGACGAAAAGGGCTGCCTTTGAGACCCCTGGCCGTCAATTCGAATCCCGCACCTCTGGAATAAATGTGAATACGGCGTGATCATGGAGCTCACCGCTCAACGTTCATGGTATGGAACGGAGTATGGAGTGAAACTCAAGGTAATTGCAGATGAAACCAGATGAAGGCATTCAACATCAGGGTATGCGTAGAGGACGCAAGTCTCTGATCCAGATGGTCTGGAGCAGGGTATGGAACGCTCGTCAAACCAAGCATGAACATAAGCTCGCATGTGCACATTCTGAAGATTTCGCGGGAAATCTCCCATTGCTATAGTCCCCCTTAAGTAGATAGAGTATGGCTTCGGGATATATTATAACGAGATCCCCATATACCCCATCTTCTATCTACTTAAGGAGGACTATAGGTGTTCACAGGCTTGGGCGCCTCCTGGTCTTCAAGCCTGCAATCGCTTGAACAGTGTGGGAAGAACCTGGGACCGGGGTGTGGGAGTCCTGGTGTATACGATCAAATATATAATGTATAGGTCGAGGGC